CGTCACGACAAAACCAACATAATGGGTTTGCGACCAGCATGGATCCAGACCAGCCTGCGCATTCGCGCAGTCTGATCAGGATCCATGCTGTTTCACTTACAGACCCTATAAACAAGTAGAGGAAACTGATAGCGAACAGCATGGATCCTGATCAGACTGCGCGGACACCATATGAAAATTTACTTGTATATAACCTAGCCTGCTTAAATGTACTATAAAAGTTGAACATCAGTATTTCATTTAGTTTTGTAGGATTTTTCCCCATTTTGTCTCAGCCATTCATCAAGATTCTTAATAATTTGCATGATTTCTTTTATACCATATAATTTTCTAAAGTATTGGCCATTGAGAGGAAAAACACCTGCTTGAAAAATACTTTATTTATTGTCAAATCTGATAATTTTATACAGTTTGATTCCTTATACATGTAAATGTCCTTCCCTTGTTGTTCAAAATTATAATGAACCTACTAATTTACATAATGTTATTTTAATCCTTAGTCTTAAAATAACACTTAGACAGTTACAAAGTTTGATTTTATTGACCTGTCAATTATGAATACATTATAGCAATCATTTAAATATTTGATACGGCTTCAGTTCAGTACGTATAGTTTACTAGAAAATAATATGGGATATATAACTAGTGTTTTGAAAAGTCATACCAGCTTAATGTATTGATTGTCATCACATCCACAACAGCACAACTTTTGTGATTGCCCTATATATGAAAGGGAAATTATTAAAATATATAAGTACGGACTGAATACCTATCAGTGCAGACCTTAATTAGGTGGCATGGATTCTATTAGGGTGTCACGGTTAGCAAAAATGTTAACCATTTAAATGGTGCCTTTTTAAAAACCTGTTTGAAAATTTTTAATTTGGGCCCTTTTCTAAAAGAAAATCTTTTGGGTTTTTTTAAAAATTTAAAATATTTTTTAAATTTATATAAAAATTTTTTTGTAGTAACATTACAAAAAATATTCTGTTATGGAGTAACTATTGTCCAATTCAAACCGTACCGTATAAGATAAAATAGCCTGCAATCAGGAAAAATTAAATTTAAAAACAAAATGTCATATCTAATAATGACATAAAGAAACAAATGTAGTGTAAAAGCTTAGACTTTGGTTACCCATTACTGAAAGTTCTAACCGGTTTTAGGCAAAAAACCGAATGTCCCTGTTTAAATGGATAAATGTGACACCCCAAGACTCTATAATCTGTTTGTGACGGCATGCTAAAGGTAAAGGGCTACATCTGCTTTATATTGTTTTAATTATTTTTATTTTTTTTTGTAAACATACTCAATATGTTTAAATTTGCCTGTATTATGTTTTTCTTATCACCAGGAATAGTTATAATGCAAATGAATCCAGTTGAAAACTTAAGAAAAAAGAAGGAATTGGAATGAATCGTCACAAAAATTATATTCTGGAATTCAGTCTATAAATGAAAGTGAAGTTTAATTACTTCTTATTTGTGTGCGTTTCTTAGAAAAGTTTGTTATTTTATTGAGGAAGAGACAGGCTTTATTGATCGTGGATCACTTTATGTTTTACTCTTAAATTAGTAAGCACAGGTGTTGTTTATATACAGTGCTCGTTAGGACAATTTATTGAGACAATACAGTTTTGAACACATACGAAAATCTTATATTCAAAAGAACATATCACCTTATTCTAAGAACAAAACACTGACATTTTATGATTTTCATAAATTTAAGTGATCTTTAAGTACCAGGCATTTATGTCATACCATAAACATTAAGATTTTGAGTTGTTTGTAACTTCAACTATGAGGTTAGTTCTGGCTTCCAAAACTTTATAAGCAGCTATTTAACATTTTTGTTTTTCATCTGTTGCGGCATGTCATGTCATAGTATATAAACGGGTACGCTGAAGACCTTAAGCTACTATGAGGTTAAAGTGTGTGAAATCTTAAGTTTAACTTTGGGGGGTGTTGTTTAGTGTTACAGTGCTATCCTTGGTGTTGCAATGCTCTCCTAAGAAGTAGTTACTGATAAAATGGTCAGCAGCTATTGACCATGTTAAATAGAAAATTCTTTTAAAAAATTATCACTAGCCAGTGGCTCATCTAAAATGTTAACTGGCTACTTTAACTTAAGGCAACTTAAAGTCTGCATTTTTTAAAAAATTTTCCTTAAAAATAATTTTTTTTATTTGTTTGAAAGATGGATACAAGGGTAAGGGTTAAAATTTATAGAGAGCACCTGGTCCCAACTGGCATGCACATTTTGTTTTTGTAAGATGAGCAATTTTTTTATGCAAAGATTGTTTTTAAATTGATAAAGTTTGCATAGAAGTGCTCTGTATTCCAAAAAGTATTTCATCTTTGAAATACCAGTAGATATGGCATGCTCAAGGTTTGATAAAACAACACATTTTAGATATTGTATATCTATGGATGCAAATAATTCAGGGTGCCTTCTAATCTTGTTGATGATAAATAACAGGATTTTGAACATGAATTTAAATTATCTCCTTTTCAAGGATAAGATATTATTTTACAAATTTTATAAATTCCACAGTTTAAGATTATAAATGTTAAACGACAAACGGCTGAATCAGGATTGATTTTGTGTAATATACAGTACATAAAATTACACATGTACAAAAAAAACTTTTGAACTTATGAAAAGTGCAAATCCTCCATAATACAGAGTCTGACATTAATTACTCAGTGACATGCTCCAGAACTTGGAACTTGACAGTTGTGACCTGTTTCTCCCAAGTCCAAACAAACATTTACTGTTACAATTTAGTAAAAATATTGATAATAAATAAAACATTTTGACCACTTGATTTAGCACAGTTATATACCATGAAGTTAAAACAGTAAAAGTTTATTTGTATCCAGGATTAGATGGGAAAACCCACATTTGCCTAGTTCCGGATAACATCTATTAAACAATGAAGTAACTTAATTTACTAAACTTACTGTCATAGTAATGATGCCAATTTTAAGTTAGTTTAGTTTATACAAATTTATATTAGTTTGATTGTGTTGGAAGTATTAAAGCTTATTGAAACACACTCAAATTCGTTCCTGGAACCAACCAGTACTCAAGCAAGGAATGCAAAGTTTCTTGCTCAAGGAAACAAAGGCTTGCCCCTGACAGGGTTTGAACCAACGCTGATAGCAATCCTTAGATTGCTTAAGTTTGAAGCGTCAACCTCTCAGCCATGCCGCCATTGTTATCTAGTTATAAGATACTGGTATCACATTAGGCATATTAGGGTCATACTAATACTTTACTTAAGAGATTGCAAGAAAATCGTTTTTAATGATATTAAGGGCAAAATGATATGCAAGTAAGGGAAAATTTTACTCACTGAGAAAAAAAAAATGTGGGCATTAAAGTGGGACAATGATGTGCCACGGTATTCTTGGCACTTCCTTTATCACATAAATTCTGTCTCATCAGTTAAAAAAAAAAAGAGGAAAGAAATTTTTTGTACAATTTAGAACATGAAAATTAGCAATATCATGATCAATAACAAGTTTTTAATTAAAGGTAATAAAAACTTGATGGTGATGTTGCATTGCTATAAAAATGACAGAAATTATAATGTTCAGAGAGAAAAAAAATAATGAAAAAAAAAATTGTAAAAAATGTATTCATTTTGTTCCTTTTTGTGTGTGTGCATGACTTGTAACAAAAATGTGTATTGCAATAAGTCCATAAGCTGTTTTAAAAAAGTCTGTTTTATTCATGCACCTGAGTTAATTGACACCTTGGCATCCCACCCTGAACTTACAGTCACTTTGACTTTTGTATTATCAGAAGATATGACGGTAAATTGCCAGCCCCCTACAATGTCAACAAGTATTACCCTGCAAAATTTAGCTCCTGCACTTCAAATCTAAGACATATCTCCCCCATTACATGCCGAAACAAAACCACCAAATGCAGCAGGCATTGCGGGGGACAGAAATTTAAAACTCATTCTTTCTTAAACTAGATTGGTGCAAAGTAGTAAGGGATATTCTATAGTAACATAAGATAAATCCTTTGAACCAGTTATATGAATCTTTTTAACTGGTTCAGGTAAATTGCCAGGCTGGGTTTGCTGTTAATTTCCTGATAATAATGTAAATATTAGTTTTTAAAGTAATATTTATATAGTATTTACTTATTTCAGATGTGAAATATTTGTTTTGTTATCTATATTTCATCTTAAACCCAGTCAGTAATCTTATTATAGCAGGTGTAAATCATAATTTTTGTTTATTAGTTCTAGTAAATGGATTCCAGATATATTTTTAATTAAGGAAGACTTAACGTAAGCTTCTTAAGATAAACCTCCCAAGCCTGTTTCCAATTTGCACAGTTTTATGTGTGGAAGTTTTAAATGTTTTGGCATTTAGAAACAAAAAACATATAAATATTGATTTTCTAGGAACCAGAAAAAAAATGTGCATTAGTTATAGACTTGACATTTCATAACTTTCTGTATTGAAGACAAGATTCTTGAAGAAGAATGATATTGTAAATAAATAATTTAATCTTTTAATTTCATGTAAATATTTTTTACCTCTTATAATTATACACTATACAGGTTATATAGACTCACAAAAATGTATTCATCATTAGAATTGGATCGGCTTACTTTTAATGTTTTTTGTCTTTATATCCCAAAAAATTGATGATAATGGACAATTCTAAAAATGGAAGCTGGACAAGTCCATTTAAGCATGTACTTTAAAGAATAAAACTTTAATAGTTTATTGTCCAAGAAATATTTATAATTCTGCAATTGTAGCTTCTATACGAAATGAATTATTTGTTATTTATCTGTTTTTCATCATACTTAATAGACACAGTATACAGTTGGTTGCCCTAGAAATGTTATTTTCAACAAAAATATATTCATCAGAGAATAACTTGAAGGCATAATCAGTCAAACTGCTCGTCTTCCATGTCTTCAATACATCTTCTGGAGTTCTTAAAACTTTTCCATTTTCTACTTACAGCCAGACAACAGCTGAAGGCAGAGGGAACGGAGAAAACATACAACTGTCGGGATGTTAACTCCACATACATGTGACATTATTGACTAGAACTTCAAGAGGAAATTCAATCAGTAGCTGACATAGGAAACGTAAATTTGACGAATCGCTTTGACAGGGAGACATATTGCTCGAACAGTACCGAGGAAAAAAACAATGGAGTTAAAACTAGGAAGTGTTATGTTATTATTGTCGTGTAGTCTTCAGCAGTCACTCTGGGGAATTTTAGCGTCAGTACCACAAACTACTGCGAATAAATGTAAAAATAAAATCAGGTAGGTTCATTCTTATTTAATTTGCTTGATTTTCAAGTTATATTAATCAAAAAGTCCCACATCTAAGTAGTAGTAATTATTCATTCAAAGTACTATAGATTTAAAAGAAACTATATTTTTGTTCAAAATACTCATTTAACTCAATTTCATTCATTATCCGAATTTAAATTAAGATGTACGGTATCAGTTTTTAATTTTAAATTGTGACATGATCCAAGACAGTCAAGGGCTATAACTCTACTGTTAATAGTTCAATTGTACCAAAGAAATTAAATTGTCTACTATAGCATATCAAATGGTACTTAAAAGGTTATGTCAGGTGTTTTGTTTTCATTCAAATGAAAAAAACAACAAAAAACTATGATTTAAATAAATCAAGGTTCTAAAGATAATAAAAAAGGTTGTTAAATTTAAGTTTAAGAATTTTACATATTTTGTATTTAAAATTTCAAAATACAACTTTGTCTTATTTAGACAAAATAATTAATTGACAAACTTTTATCCTGAATAAAAATTTTAAAACATGAAATTTTAGAAACAGCTGAAAATTTTAAAGTAAGAGCATTATTTACAGTGAAGGACATTGCATGTATGGCTCAGTGAACTCTTAAAGCAGTGTGCTTAGTTTCACCAGGGATGTAATTGTCCTTATTGCCCAGGTTGTCCAACAGCCTGTAACACTGACAAATACGATTTTTTCCAGAATTTACTTTATAATTTATATCATACAAACAAGTAAAAAAATGAATTCGATAAAATGGACAATTTATTCAAAATCAGATTTAGACATCCCTGTATCACTTAAGAGATCAGTGTTACCAAAAATTAATAAATAATTAAAACTTAATCAGTCACAAATGCTATGGCTATTGTGTATCAAATTAAACAAAAAATAATTCAATCCTTACTCAAAAAAATACCATTTCACAGAAATGGGAGAGATAATTAAATGAATAACAAAAACATTGACTTGACAGAATGATGTGTGTGGCTTCTGAAATCAATAAAAAAAAGGAATTTACATCAGTGTGATAAATCATTGTGTAAAATAATGAAAAAATTGCTACATGCTACAAGCAGATTGTTACTTTTTATCTTGTTGTATTTTTGTGGTAGTCAATCATTGTTACTGTATCAAGTTGAAAAAAGTTTTGTGAGTGGTAGTGTTATATCTATGACATTTCTGTGATGATTGTCTTATTTTAATCTGAGTAAAGACAATTTGTTATTTTGAATTGTAAAGGAAGTCAGAATCATGCTTAAGAGGTCAAAATCTGCCCTGTTCACCCGCCAAAATGCGCTTAAAGACGTCTTATTCATCTTTTTACAATTTATTCATTAATGAGTGAAAAAGGTAAAAATCAACAAAAAAAAGGGATATTTGAAAAATGTAAAAATAGACGAAAGAAGAGATATTTGATCATGATTTGTGCAAGTGTCTAGAGGTATTGCTTCAACACTGTAGTGAGTTAAATCCTCAATAGTCAAATTCTTCTTACTTAACTTTAATGCTTAGCACTGATAATGAAAATGTATAAGTGACATTTACTTTTTACCCATTGACTAAGTAACATATAAGAAACTGTACCTTCTCTATATTATTTCAAAGTGATAAGAAATAGAAGCAAATCATTTGAAATATTGTTGCCAAAATCTGTCTCTTTCAATAGAATATGGAATTTCACTCAACATAGCAGCACACAAAAAAAATCTGGAGACAGAACCAGTAAAAAAGATATTCAAATGTTTCAAATTCCGACATGCAGGGTTTTTATCAGTTGAAAATACAGAGTAATTTGTTTGTGAAACTAATTCCATCTGAAATTCAATAAATCATACATCCTCTGCTTTTGTTCACTTTCAATAAAAAAGAGTATTCTTTTCACCATGCTGATATGGTTGGAAATAAACATTTTTATTGGCAGACTTTTCTATTTAAAATTTTATCTTCGGCTCCGATCCTGTAGTGAAAGAAAATCTAATAAACATAACATTATATCGAAGAAAATGTAAGTAAATTTTCCTCTGTGTGTGTGTGCTATTCTACCTGCAGTGAAAGGGGTACATTCTTTATAGTCAGAGTTGTAATTACAGTCAAGGAATACAAAATTGATAAGAAAAAAAAAAATGATTAGAAATACTAGAAGAATTATTCCAATAAAAGAATTCTTGAATGTCACGTTTTTCACCCCCAAAATAATTTCTAATAAAATTCACATTTTTGATAAAAATTCTTACAACAGAACATTGATTTATTCATTTTTTGATCATTTCAAGAGTATAATTTTTTTGTATCTAGATATTTTTTCAGTATTTAGGGATCATGACCCATACCCTTGGGAAATGGAAATTTTCATGGTATTTTGTTCAAAATTGCATGTGGGTGGTGTTTTACATTTCCTAGAAACTAAGAAATATGAAAACATTTTTCTTGTCTGTAGGGGAAAAAATCTTACTTATTTTACAAATTAGTTCATCTTTTACAAAATTGTTTTATTATTGTAGGTATTGTTAAGACAAATTGTAAACTGGGCCAGAAAAAAAACCCCATTATTTAATGTATTCACTGCAGGAGGGATCTATTTTCAAAGCATTTTTGAGAAAAGAATAATTAGCAATATCTGTGAATAGCAAAAAAACCTTTTTATTTACTATTTTGGGGAATCATACTGTTATAAATAAATTTGATTTTATTAAAAGAGAGTCCACAAAACTGTTGAACCAAATTACAATCTGCACTTTTATAGAAAACAATGGGATATTAAAGGACCTTAACCTTGCATAAACTTCTCAGTGACCTTAGCCTCTTGGTTTTGGAAAATTATCGCTATGGGAAGTAAAAAAGCTGACCAGTGTAAGTTCAGATTTTTTGGAAAACTGCATAATTTTAACAAAAATTTTGATTGGGAAAAGACCTTTTATAGGCCTCTGTTATATAAGGTGAAAAATCACTGTCAAAGGACCATTTATCTCAATTTACATGCTACATGCATACTCATTTTCAAGGAAAACAAGACATCTTTTTCCCCTCTATCTCTCTCTGTTATATTATTACAATAATCCCCATTACATTGGCTTCCCAGTGACCAGACATGCTCCCATGACAAGAAATTTATATTTCATATATCAATATTTCTGTCCTATTACACTATTGATCACAATATTGGTTAAACAATTGTGCTCTGACAGATTCTATTACCTTTGTCTCCGTTGTATTTCCTGCTAAAAAGTCCGAACTCATCACTAATAAACCATTCGAAATGCAATACATATCATATTATTGATATGGTTAACAATGGTTTTTCTGAATATTTATATTTATTTTGCATTGATTTTTGACAGGAAACCTCGACTCTTCTCTTGATGAAGGAGTTAAAAGTTTTCTGTAGCAATAATTTTATTGGATGATTGATATTTGGAATTCCTAGCATATGGATTTTCTTCTTTTATGTAATATGTGTATAATATTTTCAATGTCTTTGAAGGTTTTGCATGAACCGGAACTTTGTCAAGTACTGTACTTCCTGTCATCATTTTGACATCATATGATAATATCATATTAAAATATTCTTTTATCTCTGAATATATTGTATAACTTCTGTACACTGTTTAAAGAAAAATCTATTTCATTTTCAAATTTTTTTCTGACCTAAGTCTTTCTTACACTTCGTCAGATACTTTAAAGGAGTGATGGGGAGAAAAGTTTGTATAATATATTTCAGAATATGAATATATTATTACAATTTGTGATGATGCTAATTCAAAAATTTAATCTAAACCGTGAGTTAGTAATAATAATGTAGCTTTTGTTTTAAACTTATAGATTATAAAGGGTCATGGTAGTGCTGTTCTGTAACCTTTGTGCTTTGTATGTTTGTAAATCAATAGATACGGAAGATATATAATTATGTTGTTTTGGTTTGTCTGTCTGTCTGTTTTTGTGTAAAAAAACTAACCTTGACCAAATCATACAAGTCCTTCTATCCAAAGCCTCCAAATTTCTCATTTGAACGAGCAGTACCTGTCAGACCCTGGCCTTACAGGCAAAAGGTTAAAGGTCAAGGTCACCATCGAATCGTTTGATGATCGTTGAGCATAATAGGCTTGTAATTATGTCATTATGATGTTGCTGAGTGCTTTCAATATAACATAACCATTACATACTGTGTTTCTTTATATTATACACAACTTTTGGAAATTTCAAATTATAACACAGCTTCTATCCATCAAGTGCAAAAAAAAACAATCAAGGTATTATAATAATTAGCTCAGAGTTGGTGCATGCAACTTAATAATGTAGTAAAATGATGGAAATCAAAATTTTAACGCATTTTTTTGTTAGGAGAGAAGAGTTTGTTTAACATAACACATCTAATTACAGACAATTACCGTCATTTCAAAACTTGTGTACAGTAACTTTAATTAAGGTGGAAAAAAAATTTAACTGCATTTTATCATTGACAATAACCAGCTCTCTGCGCAGATCATAAAATTCCGGGTAATCATTTTCCTTTCTTTTTTTTTTGGCTCTCTGTAAATTGCTTGGATACATCCAATCAATGCAATGGAGTTGAGTGGTCTATTTAAGAGATTGCCTTCATCACTTAACTAACATGTCACTGTTAAATTGGCCAGATTGAAGTAGTTTCAATTTGATGTGAGACAGGCCAGTTCGATGATTAGGAAAAAATCAACTCCCATCTATTATAAGAGCACTTCAATTTCCAGCCCTGTAGACTTATTTTGTCTTGGATGATTAAATTTCTGTGGGGTTACTGTACGTATGTAGCTTATAAATAATTTATGAAAGATATCTATGCACTTAAAGTCTTCTTTTCCCATTTTGCTGAAAGAATTGAATAAGGTTTTCCAGTATATACTCTTATTTGAAATATGAAGTATATATAAATACTTTGTTGTCATACTTTTGTATCATTATTCATCATAAACTTTTTCCTATGCAAGACTATAAATAGAGGTTATTGAATGAGTGTAAGTTC